TATTATATATTATATATTATATATTATATATTATATACATATATATAGGTATACTGTGCACCTTGGCAAAAGGTGTTTTTGGCAAATGCTTAAAGACTGAATATTTGATAGAATAAACTGCTTTAAAGGATAGGCACGTAAAAATTGCCCAAATTTCTATTGTTTTTTTTTTCCAGAACTTTATTTTTTTTTCAAAAGGAATACTATTAAATTAAAAAACACACATTTTTTGACATATTATGGGTCATTCAAAGTATTTTGCTAAGTGAAAGACTTACAATCGAGTTTCTTAGATGATGAGGGCAAATCTTTAGGTGTCCACCTAATAACTAACAGTTAGTCGTTGAAATAATTTTAAAATTTAGCTGCATCATAATTTCACATCATTACTAAGCAGAAAAAAATTGTTATGTTTGAGGTTTGAGAAATGAAAAAAAGATTGTTGCTTGCAGTCTGAGCAGAAAAATAGTTTGTCAGAAGAACATTCTTTACCAGTTTTTACAGGGCAGTTGTAAAACTGATAAGGATTTTTATATGGAGAATGATAAGTAAAGTATGTTTACAGCTGTTATTCTATGCTCTAATTTGTTTCCTTTTTCTTAGTTCTGTTATTCTTTGTTTTTGTGCCTTATTAAGTCCTTTCCAAGCTGGTTTTTTGATGGTACTTTGTTTATCTAATTATGCTACTGTTTCTTGTATTTTTTAAAACTATGCTCTTTGAAAGGAGAATAAATTACAGTTGTTTTATTGCTTGTTTTCGTAAGTGCAGGTTACGTTTCGCAAGTAATATAATATTTTTCCCATAGATATAGTACAGTTTAATTGCTACAGGTCAGAAGTGAATGCTTTTTACTCAAACAACAACGTTTCTTATTTCGGTGACGTCAACAGTGATCTTCTTAATTTTGCGTCAGCATTCTGTGCTGTTCGTAAACGCATAGACAACCATAGATAAGGCTGCAACATTAAAACATAACGCTACTAATATTCTTCAAATAATTACATCTTTCAAAACGTTTTTATAGCATTACTGCAAACAGAATACGTAGAAGTACCTTGATAAGTCATATAAATACTTTTTATAAGCTTTGAAATTTTCAAAGAGAAGTAGAAACTGCGAAACATTATACATAGGGGAAAGTCTTAAAAGAAATTAATGCAATTATTTCTTACTTAGAAAAAATTTTTTGTTATTTTTAGGAGGAAAATAGACAAAACAAATATCTTTTATCTGAGGATTAGCAAATTGTCCACCAACTACTTTTAGGCGTTGTCGACAAAGCTGAAAAATGGTAGCTTAACGTTAAGTGGTATTTGATTTACAAAGTGCATTTATTTCAGCAAAGCAAAACTCCTGCCAGTGTTCATTGTTGTCTCCTAATAGCTTAACAAAAAATATTCGTTTCTGATTCATTCCACTCTTACATCTTTCTCTTTGTCTGTTTTTTTTTTCTTTTTTTTTTTACTTTAACTTGATTATTGAAAATTAATTCTATTATCAAACAGATAAACTTTTATGAATTTACAGACAAATATCATATTGCAGTAAAAGTGGAATTTTGATAAGTGCCATCTTGAAAAGCAGTAAAAAATTTTTTGCTACATACTATTTGATTGTTAATACACTAAAAAATCCTTAATTTTTTTTTATACCCGTAAGAAATTTTTAC